AGGTTGCCAATTGCACAGTGGGAGGGGGCATTCAAAGCTGTTGAGGAGATGCATGCACAAGGCATAATTGAACTCTTTGCCAGCCCATGGGCTTCACCAGTGGTCCTGGTGAAGAAAAAGGATTGTGGTACCAGATTTTGCATTGACTACTGGACATTAAACGAACTGACCAAGAAGGACTCATATCCTTTACCACGGGTAGATACAACTCTCAATGCCTTATCTGGTTCAAGCTGGTTCTCCACCTTAGACCTCAAAAGTGGGTACTGGCAAGGGGAGAAAGAAGAGCAGAACCATGAGAAAACTGCCTTCACTGCAGGTAATGGGCTGTGGCAGTTCGATGTGATGGCTTTCAGTCTATGTAATGCACCCATAACTTTTGAGCCATTGATGGACAATATCCTTGGCGACCTGAGGTTTTTGGTCTATCTAGATGACATGATTGCACAAGCAAAAACCTTTGAACTGGAGCTACAACGTCTGACCCTTATCTTCTCACAGCTAAGGGCAGCCAACCTGAAGTTGAACTCAAAGAAGTGTGCACTCTTCCAGTGCAGGGTCAAGTTCCTTGGCCATGTTGTAAGCGAGGAAGGGGTTGCCACAGACCCTGAAAAAGTTGTGGTTGTCACAAACTGGCTAAAGCCGCAAAATGTCAGAGATGTCAGAAGCTTTCATGAGGGGACGCAAGCGGCCTCGACTGTAGGTATCTCCTCATGCAGAGATAATCTCTTGCAGTTGTTGATGGTGCAATAATATGTCAAAGATAAGTGCTACTTGTCTGTCATCTTTTTTCCTGCTCTAACCTGTATTACGACATTCTATAAACTTTGATAAAACGTTTTTATCTGCGGCTTTTATCGTGTGGATATATTTCTCTTTATAATCTACAATGTAACGCAAAAGAACCGGCTGAGGAATAAAGGTACTATTGATTGCGTGTGAAACAAAAGCATTAGCTGATGATATTTTGATATCAAGCATTAATTCATTTATCTTCTCACATTTATTCGCCCTCATCTGGCGTACTTTAGGTCTAGTGACATTTCTGTGACATACACACGGATTTTGACACTCTTGTGCAACTTGAATTGTTAGGAATGCTAGGATAATATCCTAGTATTTCTAAAAAGTACTTACAGTTGAGGCCGCTTGCATCCCCTCATGTTGGACTATGTAGAACCTTCTTTTGCTGACACTGTCCGCCCCAACTGACTGAGAAAGGCCAACCGTTTACGTGGACAAAGGAATGCAATAGTTCGTTTCATTGCCTCAAAGAGGCCCTCGCATCCACTCCAGTCTTGGCCTATCCTGAGAGCGAGGACCCCTTTTTGTTGGACACAGACGCCAGCAATGTTGGTATAGGTGCTGTTCTGTCTCAAGTCCACCAAGCCAGCCAGGCACTAAGCAAACCAGAACGTAACTATTACACAACCAGGCAGGAACTTTTGGCTATTGTCAAAGCAATTGATCATGTCCACCCCTTCCTCTATGGGCAGAAGTTCACCATAAGAACCAACCACGCATCTCTCCAGTGGCTACTAAACTTCAAGAATCCAGAGGGTCAGATTGCAAGATGGCTGGACAAGCTGCAAACCTATGATTTTTGTATTGTATACAAAACAGGGAGAAGCTACCAGAATGCTGATGTTTTGTCGCATCGGCCATGCTTCGACACCAATTGCAAGCATTGTCAGAACCAAGAGGAAAAACATGCAACAGAGAATGCAATCGGCATGCCAAATGATTGTGTGGTGAATGTTACACAAGCCCACGTGTCTGAAGGCCCTCAATCTCCATCTGCTAGCTTGCCGAGGGAGGGAAAGGAAGTAAGAGATGTGGATCAACCTGAAGATGAGCAGTTATCACCACCACAGTTCCGAACCCACCAGATGGAAAGAAAAACTATTTATCACATCTTAGGATGGAAGGAGGCTGGAAAACGCCCAGAGTGGGCAAGCATCACCTATCTCAACTTCACCACTAAGGTTCACTGGGCCC